TAGGAATGAAGATTAAGCGATTTCTTGCGCTTCCTGGGGCGTGCGCGTGCGTAACACCGCCCGAAGAACGGTTTCGTGATGTTCCGCGTCCAGAAGGTTAATAAATTAGTCTCATAAAACTACGAGCGCTGTAGAAAAAAACAAGCAGTTACTTCGTAAGCTTATAGAGTCGGGAAATCCGTTTTAAACAAACTGCACGCGAGTTACTGTAGTCGGCAGTCCTCTTGTAGATTTAATTAGTGGTTGGTCTCATCGTGCCTTTCACTTCACCAGCTTTAGGAAGTGCATCCTTCAACAATTAATTGAGCTTTTTAAATAGGGAGGATATTGTATTCTTTTAGCTCGTACAGTTCTCTCTGTAAGGAATTTATCGCGCATTACCCAGATTTCAAGCCTAATTGAACAAAAAACGCATCAAATATCTGCAGTTTTGTAATTCATAAAAAATGCAAATTTTTCTTTTATTAAACAAACAGTTGGGCATTGAAACTATACCGTCATGTTGCCTCAACATCGCGGCATGCTTTATACCGCCAATGACCGCGGCAACGTTGAATAATAGGTTCGGGGACGCAGATTGATTCGAGTTGCGTGCAGCGAGCGGCGCGCGCGAGCCCGTGATTCGTTTGGCGGAGAAAAAATCGGTACTAATTTTCATAAATCAAATCGGGCTACGAATGAAATTCAATGCGCGGCGTGTTTCGCTTTTGGACCGATTTATCTTCCAGCGGAGAGCCAGCCAAGATCGCGGCGCGGGGCGGGGAAGTACGTCGAGAAAAGCGTGACTCCGCGATCGAGACTCCGCGTGAGCACGTAGAAAATCTTCTGAGCGCGTGGAAATCATCCGGTGATCGCGCGCCCGCGTCGGCAACGCATATGTTACACTTTCTCCATCGACAGCCATAGATTCCGCACGCCCACAACTATGGGTCATTATTTCTCCAATTACAACTTTCGTTGCGCGTCGGGACTCATGAGAGCAGCTTCGCAATGCCGCATAAATCCTCGCGCTCCGAATTGCGCATTGCGTAAAAGGTTGTCCGCCAGATAGGCGAAATATTTTCATGCGCAGGCCGACACAAGGATACAATAACGTGAAAATATTCACCTCCATTGGGAATTGTCGCGGTGCAATAATGGTGTGTATATCTGTCAGAGAACAGGTATGAATGGGAAAAATGCGACGAGCAAGCCGATAAACTGATTTTCACACGATAAGGCGTAATCATGTTCAAAATAATTTCACTCGCGCTGCAATGCATACGCATTATGCGTCGTTCGCCCATAAGCGAGATAAATTCGAGATACTCAATCTCCTTGACAATCAATCAGAACGGGAACTACTGCTACGCTTTCACTATGAGCACAGCTCGGATCTTTCGTCGATATTCAACTTTGCGTATTCCTCGCTCTACTCGCGAAGTGCTTCCCTATCGATCGTGCCGACGAAATCGACAGATCAATTACCGCTACTATTTGATTTCCTCATAAGTTTCCACACAGCTGCCAGATCACTTTTTAACCGCCGCTTTCGTTTCCTCCTACGCAATTTTTTCATAAAGTACCGTTATTGCTTGCTTTAAACGACGTGGAATAACGGGCGTTAGTCGGAGCTTTGAGAAGCACTAAGAGAAAGGATTTACCACTCTTTATTTAATATTTCATTCTTTTTGATATTCGCAAGAAAGCACTGAACAATTTTCCTATATTTCAGTTTCACAGTTGTGACTTTTATGTATAAACAATGCTTTCAAAAAATTTGCACATAAATTCGCAAAATAATAAGTATCAATTTTTATTTCATCTTTTTTTTACTAGAATTCAGATTTACAAATTTCTATATGTTCCTCGATACTTATTTGTATTAGTGAGTTGAATCAGTACTACAGTAGTATACTATATCGTTTTTTCTATTCAGTTTTTAGCATGTTTCAATTTTTATAGTGACAGACTTAAAAAGGCTACAGTGCGAAGGAGGCTGATATCTTCCTAAACGCGCGTACGGCGCGGCGGCAAACCGACGTGCTTATTACGGAGTGTAATGAGTTTCCGCGCACCGTTTTGCGCTTGTGCGGGATAACGACATAGCACGAGTCTCGTCAAGCAAACGAAAACAACAAGCGGTCGACCGGAATACGAGCGCGACGCTGCGTCGCGCCGAGCTGGCTCCGTGCGAATTAAAGCGCGTATAATGAGTAGTCAAGGGTGGCAATCGTTCAATTAATATCCAAGACGGATGCGAGCGTCCGGCTGGAAAGTCGGTACGTGCGCGTGTGCCGTTTGAGCGATAAGAAAGTTCTATACATGTTTACTCTGCTCTTTTACATGTTTTTATTATGGTAATGTTTTATATAGCTATTTTATATTTGATTTTAATTCTTAATCATTTTTGTTATTAATAGTTAGAGTTTGTTTTGCCAAAAAATATGTTCAATTTGAAAAAAAGATCATTCTTGTTCGCGAGATAACGATATGGACAATCGACAGTACATGTAAAATAATTTAAAAGTACCCTGGTAGAAATTTGTGCAGTTTGACTGAACACCCGGCCAGTTATTATCTAATATTACTGGTTTTTTTATATACAAAAATACTGCATCACAACTAGGCAAAATTAATTGAAGCAATTTTATTATACAATATTATATAATATTATATTTTATTTTATAATAAAATTGCTTTAACTAATTTTGTCAAAAATATATTTTAACAAAATATGTTATTAATATTAAAAGGTTTTTGATCAGTTTTTAAAATAAAAAGTTAAAAGTTTAATAAGTTTGTAAAATAATCAAATAAAATTAATAAAAATATGTAAACGCGTGCAAAAATATAGGCCAATGAAAAAAAAATTTAAAGAATTAAAATAGCTTAGTAACTGAGTTCAGATTTTGTACATTTTTTCTATGTAGTAACTGCGCGAAAAGCGTTACGTCTTGATTGGGATCCTAAACAGTTTTACTGTTCAATAGGAAGAAGCCAATATAACTGCCCAATAACCAATCAAAAACTGCATTAAATTTCTACCAGGGTAGCTTTATTTTCTATAAAAAATAAACTTTTTATATTAAAGGGAACTGAAAGTCTATTTCTGTTTCCTACTTGTTTAACTATGTAGCTTAAAGCTACTCTGATTTTCAAAGACTTATGATTACGGAGACAAGGTTGGATTCTAGTTGGCGTTTCCGCTACTGTGATTAAACGATTCTAAATTATCGTTACGTAGCGTGCAGGGCACTCTTGTGCACTTATGTGACACATTAGGTACGCGATGCATCAAGTGAGTGCGCGCATAGTAGGCTGGATAATAATGATAATCGCTATTACGGAGATGTAACATAATTTTTTCCGTCTGTAGAAAGCCACGTGAGATTTACCGCTGCGCTCTAACTCGCGTCGCTGTTAGGAATCGTGTCTTTTTTGGGGTGCAACGACCGCATAGTCGGATTATGTGGTACGTTCCGCCTGAGATAACGATGTAAAGAGATACGATTACGAGCATGAACGAAAGGAAAGGGAGAATGGAAGAGCAAGAGCCCGATATCAGGGCATTGGACGGATTAAACGGAGAATTATACACATTGCGTTCGTTCAGTTTACTATTTCGGTTTCAGTATTCTTCGTGACTCATTGCTCTCTTGAAAGGATTAAGCGTATAGTACGCGAACGCACCTTTGCGGATTTGCGTGTATTAATAATTTATTACTTAATTTTTGTTACATTTCTTTACAAAGTTAAATATATGTATAATAAAGCTTTTTTTATATAAAGTATATTTCAAATTATGAGGTAGTTACAAATATAAATTGCTTAGAATATTAGTATTTTATATGAATATTACATATTAATTTTAAATTATCAAGTATTGAACGTCACTGAATGCTAAAAATAACGACAGAAAGCTACGAAACTTTTACTAAATAGAATAATTTATAAAATAATTCTTCAAACTAATCGTATAATATTTTTTAATTGCATGAAATAACGATGAATGTACATTTACAGTCTAATTAACTCGCCGATAAAAAATCGCGTTGCGGTTGCTGAAATCCAAGGTAATTTCGTATGCTTCTCGGGTGCACACGCGCGTTTTGACGGAAACGGATCCGCGGTAAACGCACTTAAAGTGCGCTCCGGCACGGCTATTTGTCTTCGTTTTACCGCGTTCACGCACTGATAGGCGGTGCCATTAATCATATCGCCGTGGTACATTCCGCGGCACGTTTCGCGCATCTACTCGCTCGCATCGATATGCGTTATTATTAAATGTGTCGCTGAATGTGCACGCGCGTGAACGCGAGTGAACGCTGACGCGCGATGGATTAATTGCGTATCACGTCGTCATGGCGATTATAATATCTCGGTGCTGGCCGGCTTGCTTGGCCCGCGGGCGATATTCCGGCAGTGAGCACGAATGTTGGGAGAATAATAAATTTAATTTGCCGACGTGAACTATACAATAGCCGCCTAACGCGTATTTGAGTTTATCCTAGAGAGGGCGCTCCCTCTCGATTCGCGAGATGACGCAACTTCGAACTTCCGCCCTTTCTCAGGATGAACTGCCTCGGTGTTTGACGTAGGAAAGGTATCGCGTTACAATTCATAATTTATAACAATTACGGACACTTAATATATCCACGGTTTCTTTGTTAAGTTTATAATAATTGTCGTGATAAATAAATCAACGTGTTTGATCGCGACATTGATCTCTAATTCGCCGGATTACATTCATAACCTTAATTGTCGTACCGAGTGTAGCTTGTCGAATCTTCGAACATCGACGTGAAGTTGTTTACGCTTTTTCACATTTTTGTTTTTTGAACGCATCGAAAGCGTTAGTAATGGCGGAAGTGTCGATAGTGATATTTCGTCGTGATTCGCATTGTTTATTCGCCTGTGAATGCATCATCTCTGTAATTGCGCGTCGGAAGTGTCATTGTCATTCGATATAACGCTAAAAGCAAGTGATAATCAGCTGTTATAATATTCGCGTTCGGCAGTTATTGACTCTCAATGTTATGCCATCGAATATTGTCACAATGTTGAACCTCTCGGAATCAGCAAAATTGAACACTGTTTTGCGCTTGTGACGATTGGCATTATTTCGGAATCGTCGTACATCGCGTTAAAAGTGTGTCGCGTTTGTAAAGTTCGGGAGTGCCGTGTAAATAATCGGTCGAATCGTGTGTGATAATTAGTACTGTATAAATAGTACTGTATATAATAGTGTGTATATAGTACTGTATAAGAGCCAACGATGGAATTGCAACAGCGTGATGACAGCGTTATGACGACGACGGGATGACAACAGCGTGATAGCAATAATGGATCATCGACTGGTGAGTGAATAGTGTTCTATTGTGTGATGTCATTTTTGTTCAATATAATGTTTTGATATCTATATTTATAATAATCGAAATATAATCCTATCGGTTTAATAATGGATAGCTTTGATAGTTATCTCAATACACGACAATGTAATCAGAAAAATAGTATTCAAGATATAAAATCAATCATACATTGCAACTTTTTATGTTAAATCGCGTGCAAAGCGTCTTACTAGCAACGGTGCTGGTTGCTTTTATGTAATTTTGATGTTCTATTTTTTTGTGGAACAACATGCTTTTCTGAAACCTTCAGATACTCGTAATATTATAAATTAGATATATTTGAAAATGTTTATCTCATACAACAGTGTTGCCCAACCTTTTCGTACACGCAAATTACTTTTTTTTAAATAAAATTAGAATGCAATTTTAATATCTATTTATTAAACATATCGATACAGATAAACTAAATGTCCAAATATAAACAAATTAATAGAAACAAAATAAATATTGACTGGTTGGGCACTCTTGTCATACAATATATGTATAATTCGTATTTTCACGATAAAATTTCTTACAATTTACGTAACATCGCATCTTGGTGTAAATTATGTGAGATTAGTATGGTGCGAGCCGTATCGGGACTCGTATTTCACAGTGGATTCAAGAATCCGCTATAAATATGCCTCTACATGCGGAAATAATTAAGCGTTTAGCACCGTTTTAACGCTTCTCTAATCATCTTGCGCGAAATGCGATTTTCCGTGAAACTTTCACCCTTCGCGATGAACAATCTTGCCCCGTTTCTGACTGATTAATTTGCACACCAATCTCGCGCTACATTAAATTAATTTCGCAATTAGTGAACATAAATTGTTAAAGATATGGATTAACTTTGATTGATATATATATATTGGTGGTATTATTTTAAAATCAACGCATGTTATATGACGAAGATTTAACAATGCGAGAGATTTCATAAAAAGATAAGAAAACTGAAAACTATGTTGAAATACACATTTTGTGAAAACATTATGTTTAATATATAGACAGAAATTGAAAGAAACATATTTAAATAAAAATAAATTTTGATTTAATTAATTAATGATTTATGAACGTATTTTACAATACGTACAAACTCTCTTGTCTCATTTTGAAGTCTAGTTACTTCGACAAGTTGAGATGTAATAAATGGAGACACATAACACTCATACTTGTTATGGTCATCTGCGCTAATACGTCCGAAACTACCTGATGGCAAGGGTGGTAAACCATCGGCTTCGGGAATAGCTTGTTTCGGTATTCCAGAGTCGGGCACATTTACCTTTACTAAATCGCCTTGCGGCGTAGTGGAATTTGCGACCAATTTGAAGTATTCGGAAATCGGGGCGGGCACGACAAAATCGTCGGGAATCAAATTGATTGGTGATTCCTCATCCGCATAACGGTCTTCTGCGTTCACAGTCTGCACGTGATCGATCAACACGGCATTTAGTGCACTAGTGTACACATGCTGGAAAGCGCAGAAAAAGACTTCCCTTCTCAGGCGAGGGTTCTCAGCCTCGAGGTCTCCGTAAACCTGTTCCATTAAAAGTGGAAACGAGGAAAAGTCCATGTTCTGTGAATAAATTCGTTGAACAGGCTGGGTTCCAGTATACGGCCCTTACTTAGAGAGTAACAAATTAATAATAAAACTCAACTTAATTATTATTTAATCGATAGTTATCAGCAGTGGCTGTGGTACTAGCCTAAACTTGAAAAATATAACCTCGTTGGAGATAATCCGAGGGAGAATTTTTATTGTTTTGCGATCTAATTTAATAGTGGACGCTTGTGAAGAAGCGTCTGAGTCTTCGTCGTACTCTAAAACAGGAGACGGAGGTTTCTCTGTCTCGAGAAAAGACCTCTGTTCGGAACCCAGTATACGGCCCTTCTTGCCAAAGGGGTTCATCTCGTAACACTTCCTTCGACGCCTTTCTAATGCTGGGTCTTTCCTCAGCAGGGTCTTTAATTTCAGCTGGTTTGACATTTGGCTGCTTACGTGGAGGCTTGAATCCATTCGTCCTGAAAGACCGAGATCTCTCAGTCTGACGGCGGGGTTGAACCCGTTGTGGGTGGGACTCGGCATATTGCTCCGCTTCCACTTCAGCGACCCAGTCATTGCGCTCAGCTGCTTTTTGCGCATTGAATGCTGACATCCGGCGTTGGTCTCTGTTCATACGGGGTTTTCCTCGTGCATTAGTGTCCGACGCCATCTGGCTTGAGTACATTTTTCTGTATCAAAAGTTAAGATATATTTACACTTATGTGATAATATGTTGATAGTACAACAAAAATTGTTTAACGTTACTGTAACGTTTGCTTTGATATATTTTATTCACGTACAATTTCGAAGTAGTGATCTATAATCGTCTTCAATTTATTTCACAATATATCTTATTTAGCCTGACGTTTATTGCGAATTTGTCCGACTGAGTTTTCGTCGGCAACACGCATCCGCAACCGTAGCCAAGCAACGGAAGTCGTTAATATGGAAGACAGGGCGCGCGCGAAAAGCGGGACCCACATCTGTCCGCGGGACTTTTAATTGCATAATTTGCGGCGTAACTTACGTGCCGGAGCACCGGAGCTTCGTCGTTCGTTCATTTTATTTCAAGCGAGCTAGCTTATCTTTCGCTTCCACGTGCTTCGGGTCTTGTGGTGGAGTAATTAAAAGTCCGCCGTCGTCAATCAGAGCCTCTTCTACTCCCATTCTCGCCTCCCCCGCTGTCGTCTAAGGGTGAGATAGAAAGGTGCGCCTCGCCTCGCATCGCGCGAAAGCTCGAAGTTTCTGTGGGTTTCCGCGCTCGCGAAAGTTTCCCCCAATGAGCACTTTCGGAGTGAGCCTTATGCGGGGGCGAAGCTTATGGCCGTATGCCGTTTATATTTGACGAGTGAGTTTTTCGCATGGAGCACCGCTTTTTCATCAGGTTAATGTCCGCTGATGAACGACGGTACATTTTAAATAACGAATAAGTATGAATTTTAGGAACAAAAATAAATCGAGTGACAAGTTGCGAATGATTAATTTTGATATGTATTTTTATACACGATGTATCTCACTGCATTTCTATCTTTTCGTCTCCAATTAATTAAATAGGACATTAATTAAGAATGTTTAAATTATTGATAGATTTATTAAAATAAAATTAACCTTTGAAATATTTGAAATATTTCAATTAACACACAATGAATTTTATTAAAGAAAGCTATCAGAGCAATAATATATTTTTTAAGATTCTAACAATAGGCATTAGAGAATTTGGATTCTCGAAGCTCGTTCTGATTTAGAGAAGAAGTGGTGTCGCATTTGTTACTGCGTTTATAGGCACTTGACGTTTTTATAATGAGGGATATGAGGCATGATGTATAACCATTCGTTATATCTATTAAATTCTTGATGATCGTCACATTATCATTGGATACACCAACATGATATCGCTATATATGATTGATATATTGATATCATTTTGGTGCATTCAATAATGTAACTATCATCAAGATACAACAGATCCATCCAACAGATACAAATGGTTATACAAGATGCTTCATGTTCCTCGTTATCAAAGGTCAGGAGCCTATAAATGCAATAACAATGAACGGCACGGTGCTACAAGCCAGGTCTATAATCTCTATCCTGATAATGAATCGATCGCAAAATTTCGAATATCTTGCAGTAACTGCGCAGGATGATTGTTGCTGTCAAGTATTTTTCTGACCAGAAACGATTTCTCACATGCAAACTCGCTTTCATAATACCGTAAAGGCAAGTTACTTGACATCCGGAAACGTCTGACCTGCTTTGTATAGGCACATCGCACACTGGATCGTTAGTGATATGCGATAGTATTAAGAAAACATTACCATATTACGTAAACACGAAGTTCCATGGTTCTGTGAAACATTTCCCTTGCAACAAGTTAAGCGACGAGCCACTTGTTCACTGGAATTACAAAGAGAGGGACAAGCGGTACCGTCGTGCCGATACTCACTAAATTCGATCAAATTGTTAATTACTTAAATATTTTCCATATTACGATATTTTATGAAACAGAAATTTATTAGTTTATGATCTTGTTTAGTCATTCTTTTGCGATTAGAGCGATCGAAAGGTTTCTCACCGTAAAGAAAGACATAACTTTGAAAGCGTGTACCTTTGTTTACAAAGGGTTAGGCGTGAGCTGGCTTATGCTCTAACGAGAACGTATCGCCCGTAAAGTCATGTCGTAAAGAAGTGGCAGCCGTTTAGCAATTGTTCGAAGTTCACGGCTCCGTGGCAATCGATACTGCGCGGCGTTGCTAAAACAACAACTGCTGCGCACAGACGGGTCGTCGCACCTTCCGGTCTTAAACTCTCTTCCTGCTCTTGCCCTCTTCGTCCTCTCTGCTTTCGTGTTGGATAATGAATGAGGTCCTATATTTACATATTTTTCCATGTTCGTGCCACGGGTAGGTTAGGCGAGGCACAGCCTAGCACAAAATTGCACTGACAAGCTTACCTCTATTCATCTATTCCGGTTTACTTGACATGGTTTGATGCATCATAAAAGGCAAGCAAGTTTCGGCGTGTCACTGTAAAATTAGGACAGTTTGAAACGACAGGTTTTTATGGCGGCATTAAATTTTATTCTTGGCTTTTTCGTCATCTGTATTAGCTGTCCATAATTTTATTCAGTAATATATCTCATGTTTACTTCTGTGAACGTAATCAAGCGACTGAAATGTATTTTATTAGAAATGTTCTAGCTTATTTACGAAATCTAGGCCACATTTGTTTTATGATAGTTTTATACAGTTTTTTCTAGAATGAATATAAATTCCGGTCACATATATTAACAATGAAATTTGTTTAAATTAGTATTTATTGCGTTTTTGTGTTAGATTTGTATACATTTATATATTTAAATATTTGTATTTTATTGGTAAAAATACGTATATTATTTTGTTGGCTTATTTCACGAAAAACCG